AGATATTCATTTTCTATAGAAATCTAAAATTCTCTCAATTCCATGCTGCCAAATTTGGCTTTCAAACTGTTATCGCAAGATAACTCGATAAGATTATCTTCTTCTGCAGAAGTAAATTTAGACAGAACACTAGTCTTAAATGGATCTTGAATCCATGCAAACTTATCGAAGTTTTCATTTTAAAATATCTCACAAACCAGTTAATTAGCTGCGATAAGTGCTCCTTAAACATAGTTTTTATATCTCGAGAAAGATCAGGTTCATTTGACGTCACAAATTGTTGTAATATTTAAAAACAATCTTTGTCTGTATCTCCCTTTAATTTTCTTCTCCATAATTTGAGTTTTTGTTATAAAAGCTGATATTTTTTCTTTTTTTTTCAAAAGGTGCATATTCTTCCCCTTTAGAGAGCGATTAGGGGAATTTAGCTTTTCAAAAATGTCGCATAAATATGCCAGTTTTATTATGAAATCGGCATCAGCAAAATATTCTGCATCTTTGTATCCTTCTTCTTTAAGAAAAATAAAAATTTCTTGCCGCAATTCAAAGGTACGTGATAAAACATTACCACCAGAGAGCCATCATACAGTGCTATAGTACAACAAAGACGAGTATTCAGCTCCCATATCCTCACACAGTTTTTGAAAAACCTTGTTTCAATGGACGACATTTTAATGAAATTGACCACATTCACCACACATTCTAGCACCTGATTCAGTGCAGGACTCAGATGCTTTGACGCAAGCGCCTCGCTATGAATAATGCAATGGGTCCACAGTGAATTTGGTGATTTTCTTCGAATAAGCGCCTGTATTACGCCACAGCAGCCAGACATGGAGCCAGCTCCATCGGTACAGACATCAACGCATTTAGGCCAATTCAAATTATTTTCAGCTATGAATGTATCAAGAATCTAGAACAGGTCCTGAACCTTCGCTCCTGGAGTGATATTTTTACAAAACAAAAGGTCTTCTTCAATATTATTACCATCTATAAACCGTACATATCAGATGAGCATTCTTATTATTATCCGTAGCCTCATCCATTTGCAATCCAAATTGGAATCCTTTAATTTATTCAATTAATTGATCATTAATATCCTTCGACATATCTTGTATTCTCCGACTAATTGCGTTATTGGACAAAAGCACTTTTAAAAGCAGCTTCCCAGCAGACTCATCAACCGTGATTTTCACCATGTCTACAGCAGCCGGTATAATAATCTCTTCTGCGATGGTATGAAGCTTCTTACATTTCGCGATTCTGTAAGCCACCTTGTAAGATGCTAGCAAAGCGTTGTTTGGTATCGATGCAGTTTTAAAAAAATGTATCTTTCAACGTCCTGACTAAAGAATCACGAGGTTTGCCAACCATGCTGTTGTGCTTGGCTTCTAAACAGCGCTTCAATTTACTTGGAAGCATACGTTCTGTTGACAAAACTTTCATACACAATAAACTTTGTGGTTTCTTTTCCCCATTAATTTTTGTTGACGTAAAACGAAACTTTGAATGATTCTCATCATATTTACGATATTTTCGTTTATTCACACTAGTTCCACTGGTTAAAGTCATACTTTCTCTATCTGCACTATTACATTTATAACTGTTCAAAAATAGGTCCATTATCAAGGATAGAAAAGCCAAAAATCACAAAATAATTTATCAAAGACAACAAACAAGAAATAATATAACACTAACTAAATTACAAATATGAACTTATTAACAAATTTATATTACTGTTTATTTATATATGAAGCGCTGAGTTTAACTTCACTAGACCCAAATTACAAGTCGATTGACTGAATCGAGCCGACAACGCTTGCTTATATACTTCCCGCAAGATCTTCCAGAACATTCCAAATCTGTCGCGAAGGTTCTACGCACCCCGACGTGTCTAGTGCGATCCCCTGGCGCGATTGAGAAGACGCAGCGTTTTCTCTCACGTTTTTGTTTAGTTAGGCCAAATGTCTGGGTTCAATTAACTATGAAGCTTTTACAATATTTCGCGACGCCCCTATAAAGAGACCGTGGCGCACAGTTTGGGAATAACTGGTATAGACCTTTACTGAGAGACCCAACAGAAAGACTTAAGGTTGGGCTAAAGGATGCCCTTAAGGTATGCGTAAGTAATTGTGAAATAGATAATTGAAAAATGAATTCGCTACTCCAAAGAGATGCATGGGCCCCCACGGCTTACGGTCTCCCTAGGGTCTACAAGGAGGGTGTGCCTCTAAGATTGTGCATACAACTAAGGAATTCTGCCAATTATTGGCTATAGTTAGTTAAAAATTCGTATGATTTTGTAAAATTGCTAGATCTGCAGACAATTTCAGAATAGGAAAAGCTAGTAAGTTTTGACTTTGTGTCTATGTACACAAAAATTCTTGTTCAAAGAGCTGTTCAAGCTCTGATACAGACTCTGGAGGATCATCCAGAGATAACACAATGAATAAGGCTGAGTTTAGTTTCCATTATTAGACTTATTAGCCTATACATGAGTACCACATATTTTACCTTTGATGTTAAGTGATACGAATAAGCGAATGAATTAGCGATGAGATTTTGCCTTTGTCAAATTTTAGGGAACAATTGTATGGCAAGATTGGAGAAACATTTCCTGGAGGAGGCAATATTAGCACCCAAATTGATGGTTATATACATAAATGACTATTTTGTCATCTGGACTCATGGTAAGGAAAGTTTAGATAGTTTCCTACTTTCATTCAACCAGCGTAAAAGAAACATTGGGTTCCCAATGGAAATGGAAGAGAACAAGTCCTTACCTTTTCTGTATTATCTCATAATTGGAGAAGAGATGTTTATAGGAAGCCAATATATGTTTTTGCTCGGCTTAATTTTCTTTCCAACCATAATTACAAGACTAAGGCTGGAATTTTGAAGTCAATGATTCTTAGAAATATGAGGCTAGTGGATAGCAAACATTTTACTAAATAGTAACAACGGCTGACAAATATTGTCCTGGAAAATAATTAACTTTTGGGTTTTATTGAGAACAATATCTCTGCATTAAGGAATACACTTTCAGACGGAGACCATTTACTTAAAAATAGAGAGACTGATATCTTTTGCCATCTCCTAATTTTGCCGTCATGCCTTCTCTCAAAAAAGATAGGCGAATTAGTAAAGAATTGGGGCATAAAAAAGTGCTCAAAGAAACCCTTACACTTTTTTATGTTATGCCATCTTTTAGAGGGAAATATGACCCATTCTCGAAATCCGGCTGATACAAGATTGTTTGCTCATGTAGTCGATGTTATGTTCGTGAGGCATGTCGACCTATTCGACAAATATTGCTTGCAAAAGTAGCTGGATCCAATGGTCAGTAGTAGCTAAGCACATGCTAGAAACAGGACATGAAATAAACTGGTCTCAAACTAGTAGGTTTGCTGACTACGATACGTCTGTGTTTAAAAGAAAGATAAGAGAGGCTATCGAAATGAATAGTTTAGGAAAGGAGGTAGAAAGTTGAGTAGCAATTACTTATGGTTGATTGATAGATTTAAAGAGAGAGAGAGGGTGCTGAGCCGCCTTCAAAAAGAATGCGACTCAATTTGTCTGCTCAGTGATGGTTCTACCTTCACTCACATTCGCCCAAAAGGTTAGAGTAAGCTCTTCACACTAAACAGAGATGTCAGATTACGCAACCCCAGTCTTGCTTTTCCTTGGAGGGTTAAACGTTAATGACCCTTGACGGAAAGGTTAGGACTAATGGTTTCGTAACTTGATTATCATGCTTACAAGCTCATATTTCATTATCTCAACCACACTTATTTACGCACCTAGGCCATCTTGGCCTAAAAAGATTTTCTCTTTGGTTATTCGTTCTTGAGGATCAGAACCAGACATTTAACCTTTAAAAAATCTGATTTAGGAACCGTATTGCATATAGACTCTAACACGCACAAATACACATAATAAAAAAACAGTAAGAATAATAGAACCAGTATGAAAGAAAATTAACCAAACCACTCTAAAACGATCTATCTAGGTTTTTAATTTTTAATCTTTTGACTCGATTAAGTCTATACAAGAAGTAAGATAGAGCCGGATAATGTTCTTGCTTTAGTGTCAACGTGAAACTTTGACAAAAAGGACACCCAGCTTTGATGATGTCTACCAAATGATGGACGAAAGCTCAGCACGTTTTGACCCGAAACGAGGGAGAAAGTCTCATGGATTGCGTCAACATGAATATCGTCTAAAAGCCAAACGGCTGCAGTACAACGAGTTTCATCCGTCCTCATCTGGTCAGATCGACCAACTAATCTCTTTTTTCATTCACTTTCATACGAAATGAAAGTTCCCCTAACAATGTTATTTCAAGAAATTCATCGAAACCCAGTTTCTCTTCATATTTGAAATGGACATACTTTCGCAAAAGCCGAAATTGGCTTCTGCCTCACCAGATTTGTGACTGAATCTACCTCGTGCTATCGATACGATGCAGAAAGCGCTGAAAATACTTATCCCTTCAAAGGATCGTCGAGCGAAGTCAACCTGTGTATTTCAATTCTGTCCCAGCTATTGCCTATTTCGACTTAAGACAAACGTTTGTCTGGACGGCTTTCGACGGTGGCCAGTTGCCCAGACCTGCCTACAGCATGCCAGCAAAGCAGTTCCACCTCCGGTGGATGTGGGCAAGCGCAATCCTGGATCTGATCGTCCCTAACTCCACCTGATTACTTCACCACCAGGCCAAAAAGCAACTCTTAGTTGGGAATAACGTAGGCTCATATAAACTAAGTATCGAGATCATCTTCGAGTTTTTAAATAGGAAGTGTGTTAACTCTAGATTGCAAAATGCGAAAAGGAATGGCTCAGTTTTTCGTATATAATAAGAGATTCGATACTACCACTCAATCTGTAATATGAGATGTATGTGAAAAATAGTTGGGTTTCGAGCAATCTCTCGTTTCATAATAGTTGAGCTTACTTCCATGTTGAGTGAAAGTGATGGGAGAGGAGATTCGAAGGTCGGTTGCACCAAAAGACGACGGCGGATTCCTTTTGACCAGCTGTCGATTGACTCATTAGCTTCAATTTTGTTATGACGATGATACCTCATCT